TTGAAACAAGTTGCAGATTCTCTTTGCTTTGATGGATCTGGATATTTACATGGCACTACAATTCATCAGCAGAGTTGCAGCTTGGTCATAGAGCCACCCTTACCCTAGAGGTGGGACCATTGCAGGCAACTTTTCAGCTAGCCTTCTCTGATCTGAGAAGATTAGTGAAAATGTCATTGATGATTGATGTAGTCTCAGTAAACTCCAGGGCCATGCCCCCTCCCCCCTCAAGTTCAGTTGCATCATTGTATCATCAGAGGGAGCAGGTCAGATTAGCCTCATGTACATGAGGAACATGTGAGAATGACTGTAAAATGTTCAAGGTAGCATGCCTGCCAATTTCTGATAATCAAACATTGCATATTTGAATTGTTTCTTTTTAAATGGTGTATTGCCTTGACATCTTGTAATTATATATTAGTAATAGTATTATTATTATGATTACGCAAAACAAAATATTATCAATGAAAATCTTATAATTACCCAGCAAGATCTATTCTGCGTTTGATTCCAATTAAAATATTTATAGGCTAAAATAAAAGACACCTCATACATATACATGAAGTCGAAATTAAAACCCCAAAGTCAAAATGTTTCAACTTGAGGCAACTACATAGTAAAAATCAGTTTCAACCTTATTTTGACCCTATCTTGGCCAGATCTGCAATGGTCAAAATAGTTTTGACTTCATGTATACTCATACATATCAATACAAATAAAAAAAAGTAACTCTGGTTAGTTATTAACACATACAGTCTACTCTCTCTATAACGACCCTCTCTATAATGACCACTAAGTAAAATTTCTCTATAACAAACTTCCCTTTTGTCCCTGTTTCAATTTTTTATAATTAATTTCTCTTTCTATAATGACCAAAAGCAGAGAAATTACATATAACAACAGAGGGTTTGTTATAGAGAGTGTGAACTGTATTCTTTAGGAGACCCAAACCAAACCAAACCAAACAACAACACTCATGTTTTGTCACCTTGGACTCTGTCAAAAAATAAATTGTTTTTTGATTTCCAAAAAAAAAAAAATCAATCAATTTGTGTCTGTCCTACCAAAAAAAAAACCAATAGGATAAATAATTAATGTGTACGCATTGATCAAATCACAAACTTCTTTTTCTTTTAAAGATGTCACAAATCAACAATAAAAGAAGAAAAGAAAAAGAGAATAAGGATGATGGTGGTTATCACCCGCCACTCATAATTACTCTAGTTTATCATAAGAATGATGGTAGTGGTTGCTGCAAACTTGCCATCACTCCAGTTCTTAAGTTATTCTTTTACATTTTATAAAATAATAACATAATATCATCACCAAACAAAAAGAGAGGTAAAGAAAACCTGCTTATGTTCGAAGAGTGAATCACTGTCATCAACAAAAAATGTAATGGTAAGTAAGCAGTACATTTTTTTTGTCAACATTCAGTTTTTTAATATCCTTTTTTTCTAGCCAACAAAGAAAACCACTCATATCTACAAGTAAACAAAAGCATTGAAAAAAGTAATTCTGATGGACATATGATGCAATCCTCTGTTTTTATTTATTTACTTATTTCTATTTGTTTATCTATATCACCAGAGAAACTGACAAAAATAGTGATAGTGTGTTGCAAGTTGATTCACAATTGGAGAATATTTATCTAACAGAGCTTTCATTGGTTGAGGTTTGATGCTTCCAATAATAATATTTTTGCCTAAATATAGTCATAATGTTTTATCTTTTCTTACATCTGCATTATCATCAGGAAATTAATTTAGTGTAAACTTGTGTAAATCTTACTATGCCGACGTAACATTATGTAAATCTTATGGTGCCAATGTAAGTTGTACACTTTTTTATTATTAAGCTTAATGATTGACATGTGCAAATTTTTTTTATATTTTCCAGATGATAGACTTCAAATAACCTGCTTGTTAAAAAACTTCTTGATATTGGATTGGAATTGCTCATTATAAGATTTTGTTTTTACCTGAAAATAATTTGCTTGATCCAATTAAAAGTAAATTTCATGAAAAAGAGTGGAGATATTCAGAGCTAGCTTGGGCTAAAGTTTGTAGTCACATTTATATCCAATTGATTGTAATGTTGTTGTTTTTTTGCTTAACTTAATGCTATTAATTTTCAGGCTGAAGAAAAAATTGTAAATGTAATTCCAAAATATTCAGATCCAATCAACAAGGATATTAAAATATTATTAGATAAATATAGTCGTGCTCTTGAAAAAGCAACAAAAAAATTTGATGTAAATCTTAACCAACTGGCAAATGTTATCACTGAAAATCCTTTTTTGAACTGGTCATACATTTTTGGTAAAGATTGGCCAGTCCAATGGATACAGAAAATATATAGTAAATTGTAAGAATGACATGATTTACTGTGATGTTTGTGGTTATTTTTATTTTTATTTTATGTTAACTTCTGACTATGTTTTATAGTTTAATATGTTTTCAGACACCAATAAATCTTATTCATGATAGCAATACATCGGAATATGAATATCATGATTGGATAATTAATCAATTGTGGCAAGATGTTTTTCTGGATGTGAATGGTGTTATACACATGCAAACGTAAATTGCTTTATTTTTATATTAAAATTCTTTATCTAAAAAAATATGTTCATATGACACCATTATGTAACTTGTCAACTAGGGGTACTAGGGGGTACTAGGGGTGAAGTTGAGAATGCAAGTTGAAAGATTCAGAAAGATTCAGAAAGACAACACAAATCCATTGGTTGGTTCCATGACGCAATTTTGATAGGGTTTGTATTCATGGATACCATGAATACCATTAAGGGGTTACACACTATTAAAACAGCAAAAAACCCCTTAAAACACTTGATTTTAATGTTGTGTGACCATGTGTGACCTCCTTACGGTATCCATGAATACAAACCCTAGATTTGATAATTAAAATTGCATGTCTGGATATACAAATTGCATTTGGTGAAGTTGTCGGGAATCAGGGACAATGATTCTTTGTGTTTCACATAATTTCACAGATTTCTGTGATTTCTGTGATTTCTGTGATATAAGAAGAAATCATGTTACATCACCACAAAAATTCACAAAAAATAGGTTACATCA